CCCCAAAACCCCAAAACCCCAAAACCCCATCTTAACCAAACCCTCAAAATATATTAAAAATCACCAAGTGTGAAATATGGAGAAACGACCCCATTCGATCAATGCTGCACAATTACAAAATATATCCAATTTTATTATCCATCAATTATTTCAACTTCTCCTTGTCAGTTTTCTCCAAAACCTTGTTCAGTTTCACATTATTTTACTCCACATTCGTTAATATATACCTTTTTGAGACTCGCTCTTAAATCTGGAGAACTTGCTAATCCTTGCACTAAGTTCTTGAATTGGCCAAAGTTGTTTTCCAGTCGCTTCGATCAGAGTCTCCTGACCAATATAAATCTATCTCTTGGAGTTGGCAATTTGTAAGAACCTTTGAAAAATCAGGTACAGTTGGAATTGATAACTTGCAACCGAGCAGCTTTAACACTATGACATGTTTGTAAGCTGCCACCAGTCTCTTCAGTGAGGGAAAGCCAATGGTGAAAGATTGAAATGACACTTTTGGCTGACTTTAGAACTGAGATTGATCAGTGGGTTTAAGTAATTGGACCTATTCAGATCCATTCCGTTCTTGGACCAAAAACATAACGCATTAGTTTTATTTGGGAATGAGGATTCTAAGAAATCTACTAAATGCATATTTTTAGAATCAACATTATTAAAACTAAACCAATTTAGATCTAAGAACTTGAGATGCTTCAAACTTTGCACAAGTTTGGCATCTCTAAATATGCTGAAATAAATTCAAAGTTCACTATTCTTTGAAATTTCTCCAGAGTCTGAATCCAATGGCTCAATTTCTCATTTCTCTGGGGAAAATTTATTAAGAATGCTCTGACATCTAGTGGCGTCTTGTTCCTTGGTTTCTGCCAAGATAGACTTCTCTAGACTGAAAGATTAGAGATGAAAGTGGAGAAGAACCCATGTCAGAGTCTATCAGAAAGTTTAAACTGCATAAATGAAGGAATTTTAATTGTAATATTGAGAACTGTGAAGTTTAAGTCTTTAGAAGAAAATGCAATTTATCGAGATCATAATTAAGTTCTGGAAAGATAAGGCTGTCAAATTCTCTTCAGTTTAAGCTAGAGCTTCTTGTTAAAGAAATATTCGATGTAGTTATTTTCAAGGTTGATGAATTTTAGTTTCAACATTAAAAATTTGGAACCTGTGGACAATTAGAGGATAAAATTTATTACTTTCTAAAATTCAACTCTCAATTACCTGATTGTCTCTGTGTTCTCTTCTCCAATAACTTTGGTAATGTTTCCATTTTATTATTATATAAATTAAAATTTTATTTTTCAATATGTATGCCGAGGAGTGGGGTTTTGGGGTTTTGGGGTTTTGGGG